GTGACATGGCGTTCTGGTTTCACCAGCAGCCTCCCTGGAGGCGGCAGTGGGAGGCCCCTCCAAGGAGATGGCTCCCTTCTACGTGTGTCTCCTGAGGACAGGGAGGTGTCCCACACAAGCCTCAGAGAAGTTAAGACTTGTGGTTAGTTCCACATCAGGATACAGGCAAGCCCAGAACCCAGACGCTCCTGCCTTCCAAAGCTGAGAGTATTACAGGCGATGGACCTCCCCTGGCTTAGGTTCATGCTGCGGACATGATCCACACAGAGAGGGTGACATGCTTGCGTGTTTTATTTACAACAGAGTTTCAAAATTATTTGCTGGTAAAGGACATGCCATTTTCATTCTTCTTCCTGCTTGAGTGACCTGAGGACCATGCCCTAACACTCAGGTCAGAAGCTGGTAACTAGCTCACTGGTACCCAAAGAGTCATCTCTGGATTTGCCAGAGGAATTCAGGGAGTGGCCAGGTTGTGTGTGTACTTGGGAGGGAACCAGTCAGTCTTGATGGAGAGCAACCAACAAACCCAGTGACTGTAGGGGGAGGATACGGTGGCTGAGAAAGGGGAGACTCACCAGCTGTTATTAAAGACGAGGTCCCAGTGCACGAATTTTTGCATGGGTGGGGTCCCTAGGCCTGGCTGGAGATCAGGGCCGATTGGGGCCTGCCGGCCAGGGGGAGGACCCACGGGAGGCTGGCCAGCTGGGGGAAGGGACTGTGGGAGGTTGGCTAGCCACGGGAGGTTGGCTGTGGGAGTGCACTGACCACCAGGGGGCAGGTCGTGCGTTGAGTGTCTGCTCCCTGGTGGTCATTGCACGTCATAGCGACTGGTTGACCAGTTGTTCTGGTCATTCGGTTGTAATGGTTGCTTAGGCTTTTATATATATAGATTGAGGGCACATAAACTATTCTTTTCTAGAACTGGGGGTAGGGAAAAGGATGGAAGAAAAGAGTGTGGTCTTTTCCATGTGGTAACTCCCAAGGAGCCGAGCTGGCTTTATACTCCATTAAACCAACATCTTAGGAGACATTGGTCTCTGCCAGAAAGCTACTTTGAAGTTCATTCTCCTCAGTGCCTTACTGTGCACTGGGGCTAGGAGTGTGGATCCTTAAGATCCTGTCTGGCTTAGCAGAGAGGCGCAGACCTAGGGCCTAGCAAGGAAAAGGTAAGAGTACGAGGGGAAGCATAGGGAAAAGCTTTACAAAGGACTCTGTATGTGTTTTGCACCCTTTTTGGCAAGGGTAATTGGGAGGGGACTGACGATGGGAAGAAAAATAAGACCAGTTCTGTTTGTGAGTGACTTCTGGTATCAAATGAGACCCAGCCCCTGTTATTACCTACTTTCTCTCTGCAGCCTGTTTAAAGGGACCAAGGGGGCTGCCTGCGGAGAGCAGCCTGGGACAGAGGCAAGAAAAGTGGGGATAAGACCTCTCACCGCGGAAGCCTTTTCCAACTCGCACGGCCTCCTCCTTCACAAGCAGCCTGCTCAGCCAGCCAGGAGGCTGGGCTGTTCTTCAGCATCACACTGCTCCTACAGAGCTGTGGGGAGCCCGGGGAGCCCACAGAGTCCTTCCGCTTGTCTTCAGACAGCTGCAAACTTGACTGTGCACGGGGTGGGAGCTGTAGGAAGGAGGCTTGAGTTCTGAGACATGAAAGCTCAGAACCTCAATGACTTGCCAGAAAGCTGTTTTGACCTAAAATTGGGGCCTCATATCAGTCATGCTAGTGACTCAATGAACGGGATAATTAACAAAAACAAAAATGTTGGGAAAGTGGGGGCTGGAGAACCCAGAGGGGAGGTAGGAGAAAGTGCTAATATAAGGGGAACAAATGTTCCCAAAAGGCATTTCACTTAAAAAATAAGTAAACAAGCCCAGCCGTCGTGGCTCAGTGATTGAGCATTGACCTATGAACCAGGAGGTCACGGTTCGATTCCCTGTCAGGGCACGTTCCCGGGTTGTGGGGATCCCCCCCAGTGTGGGGTGTGCAGGAGGCAGCCAATCAATGATTCTCATCCGTGATGTTTCTATCTCTCTCTCCCTCTCTGAAATCAATAAAAATATTATTTAAAAAAACAAGTCAATAAAGCAAAGAAAAGAAAGGGCTGTCAAACTCACTTTTCCCTTATCCTTCCAAATTCATCCTTTTTCAAAAGCTCCGGCCCTGATTGCAGATTCTAACTGAAGAGGGCAGAGCAAAGCTCGGACTACAAGGGAATGAAACTGGCAACCAGGGCACGAGTCGCCGAGGGAGACGTACGTGGCAGACCAGGGTCCACGCCTAAGTCGAGTTCTGGGCTTGAAGAGAGGGGCTCTCGACATGGCTGTGACATCCTTTCCCACCTTCAACAACCAGGGACATCGCCCCAAAGTGAGACACATCGAGGACAGCGCAGTCACAAGTGGGTACGGGCTTTATTCTCAGTGCACAGCAGTACTGCGTTCTGCTCATCAGCAACAAGTTTTATTGGTTCCAAAAAATTATCCCTTTTTTCCATCTTTTCAAACTCCTACTCTTCCTGTCTCAGTGGAACAACATATTTGAATTTCAGACTTGTCAGTTTATAGCATTTTTTTCCCCCTAAGAACCATATAAATACATGCAAAACATTGTACAGAGAGCTTAAATACTATCAAAATGCAAATACAGATTGGGTGCACTGTTAAGCCGAACTGCAAATTATGGCAACACACACTGGGGTACACATTGCTCTGATATCACCATTTGCTTATTGATGTCATGCAGACCACAGCGGCCTATCTTTTGTTTTTATCGTTTTATACAAAAAACAAAAAAAAACAAAACACACAAACCAGTGCTTGCTATACTAGTTACAGAAAAAAGAAAAAGAGAAGAAACTCAAAATTCCTATCTCCGTGCTGATTTGAAAAGAACAGGGTAGTTAGATTGGTTGGCACATATATATGGCATATTCACATATGGCATATATACATATGGGGCGAAAACATGAACCCACAGCCACTTCAGTCAGGGGAGCTAACCTCCCTCCATCTCTCTTAGTCAAGAGGAAAGGGGACAGCAGGCCTAACAGCAGGGCTGGGAAGGCAAAAAAGACTGGCACTGAGCTAACTGCAAGGGGGTCTGGTCTACTCTGAGGGAGGGGCTGGAATGGCTTAGAAACAGCAGGCATTGCAAATGCCTCACCCCCACCGCTGCGGGGGGCGGTCCCTCGTTCTGAAAGTGAGGAAATGGGCACTTTGTGATGGTACAGGGGCGGCTTCAGTTGTTAGGCAAGGAAGCAGGAGAGAAAGGAAGCTCTGCGTTGGCGAGGGGAGGGGGGCGGGTTTCAGGACACAGGTGAGCTTGCCACTTCCCTCTGGGTTATCGGCAGTGAGGCAATCACTCAGATTTAAGTGCAAACGCTCCCCTCTGACACTCAAGGGGAAGAAGAAACCCAAACCTAGAGAGTGCCAGAGGGGTTTCTAGGAGGTCTCTACAACTTTCAGGGATGCGAGTCATTTCAGAGGTCAGAGGGCACCTACAGGAGGGACCGAGCCCCAAGACTGTCGGCCAGGGCTAGAACCAGCCTTTGTCCTCTTCCACTTACAGCTCTATCCCCCATCTTATATCTTGCACGAAGCCTTTCTAGGGGAGGGGAGGAAGTCCCAACTCAGATCCTTGCATAAAAATTCACTGATGGAAAGTTCCAGGGACAACCGGAGGTAAAAGAACCTCCTATCGGAGGTAAAAAATGCAAACCCCAAATCAGAGGATCCTTGCCGCCCAAGAGATGTTCATATCTTGGGTTCTACTCTGCCAGCTACGCATCAAGAAGCAAAATCCAACCAAGGCCCCTGACCCTCATCCCTAAGCCCCCAGAGCCTGGCACCCACCTCCCAGGGGCCCATGCTCATTCGCTGCTGGCCCTCCCTTCTTGCTGGGTGCTTCCCTTCCCATCAGCCTACTGCCCATTTTTCTAGATTTATCAAGAGAGTAATCTAGGACACTATTTCCCCCTTCTCCCCATCAGACCCTTTTCAAACCCAAAGCACTGTTTTTGGGAAAAGCTTTAACTTATGCCGTATTTACTCACTGCCAGTTGGATCACTGAAACGGAATAGGAGAAAACTCATATAAAAAACATAGGCACATAAACACTTAAACTTACCAAGTTCTGTAGCAACAAAATTTATATTAAAAAAGTCTAGAACCCAACAAGTTTCCCCCCGCCTAAGTATAAAGATGGCTGTTTGGAGAAAGGAATTACGCTGCATTGGTTTGGAAACCAATGACAAATATACTAAGTCAGTCATGTTAATCCCCTAAGTATAAAGATGGCTGTTTGGAGAAAGGAATTACGCTGCATTGGTTTGGAAACCAATGACAAATATACTAAGTCACCTGTCATGTTAAACAGCTGGTTATGTGCTCCCTCCACAGGGTTACATGACAGCACTTTATTTTATATCCTTTAAACAAAATACATATGGCTGACTCAAAAAATACGTTTCTGATCTAAAGAAAACTATATATATTTTTTTGCATAATATTTCTATATTTTCTCTCCTACTGTGGAAACTAGAATACACAAAAAACCGTTGACTTTAAAAGTAGACACTAGCTCTCAGGAGTAACCTGTCGGGCACCATGAGAGTCTTTTTGGAGCAGGAATGGTAAAATAGCCTCCAAAGTTTGTTATTGGATTTTTTTAAAAAACTGATCTGAGGTAATAAAAGACTTGACAGAATGAAATCTTCCAATGTACTTAATAAATAGACATGTGAACACCTAAGACCTCGCATGAGCTGTCTTTCCTCCCCCATGTTACAGACAGAGAAAAGGTCACTGACGCAGGTCACCTTTACAAAACCAAAATCCAACGTGGTTGATTCTGTAATAACGGGATGTGTAGGGAGCGTGTTTCTTTCCTCTCCCTGCCTTGGCCAGCTCAGGTGAAAGCGGGAGAAGGGGTGGCAGCCAGAAGAAAAGGCTGGAGAAGACAGGTTCGGGTGCCCTTCCTCTCATGGATGGACATCTGGCAGTTCACAAGAGCCTCAAGCCCTTCTCCCTTCCCCCATGGCGCTGCAAAGAGGGGCAGGCTTCCCCAGCTATCCAATGGGAGGAGGGAATTGGCAGACACGAAAGAACCCCCTGCTCGGAGATAAAAATGGAGCTGCTGCCAATGTGGCTCCACCTTGTCCCATGAAGGAACACTTAGAGAGTCTCCTAGTGAAGTCCCCAGCTCCTGAGAGGCAGGTGAGAGGGGATGCTTTGGGCAGTGTTCAGGGAAAGAAGGCACAGGGCTTGATTGTGCAGCAGGCGAGCACGCTCTGGAGAGGGGCTTGAGTGGGGCACAAGAGGGGAAGGTGGGGGGGATGGAGGGGAGCTCTGCAGGGTGGGTCTTTTGCTCCTTTCAGTCAGCAAATGTCACTGGAGCCTCCCACTCTGGATTCATATTTTCAAAATCGAAGTATTTGAGGAAGGTTGGGACCTTTTCAGAAACAGGACAAGTTAGGGAACACAGCAAAGAGTAGAGTTAGACAACTGACGGGAATATCAAAGCTGGGACCCAAGCTCAGATCCTAGACGGCCCTTAGGCCTCTCCCAAGGCTTCTCAACACTCACTCCCCCAATAACCAGGTCCTTCCCTGGAAGAGCCTTGGAAGATGGTTTTGAAAGCAGCAGTGGCCACCCCAGGACTCCATAAGAGTTGGCTTTCATGGTCTGTCTGGTCCTAGACATGCCAGCTCCTGGTCCTCGATACCAAAGCTCAGTTAGGAGACAGGGCCATCTCAACAGACTCATTTACCACCACTTTAGAAATACGAGAAATCTCAGGGTGATGGTAAAAACCAAATACCACACATGTGAAAGCTTCATGGTCAAGGTTGATCTCCCTAGCACGTAGACACCACACATACCTGACAAGTGTAGAAGTAGATAACCGATAATAGCAAGAACACATTCTTACCAGCTTTCAATTGCTTCAAAAGACCCTGTTAGCAAAGAAAACCTATCTGCCTCTAGAACTAAATCAACGGTTCCATAGGGGCCAGAAGGAAGAATGGTCAAATTTGACTTAATTCAGCCAGGTCCTTTCCACTTTCTTAATCATCACAACTTTAAAAAAAAGTGTAGGTAAGGAAGACAATAGTTAAGAGAGAGTGGAGAAGTTTGACTGGAAGGGTAGAAAGAGCTACAGGGCTTTAGGTATAAGCTTTCAAAATGGGAAAACAATTTTAAAAACAATCACTCTATAGGCTAATTCCATACATTCCATTCCTGCTTCCCACACATTTCATTTGAGAATATTTGTCTTGCTGAACCCTCAACTGAGGTTATAAATGACACAGACTGATAAGGTAAAATCCAGAAGTCAGGAGATGGCAACATAAGCATGAATACTGGGGAAGAATTCAGTTGGAATGAATGCTAAGAAGATCGTATCATTTCTTTAAAAATGACAACTGATACACTCAAGGAGTAGGTTTTAGTATTCACTACCCGGCAGGGGTTTGACTAGGTCCTGCTACAAACCCCAACTCAAGTTTAAGTAGAAATCCTTAGGTATGTTCTCTTGCCTCTTCGTGGTCAGGTAGCGCTCACACATATTTGGGAGCAGCTGACATGACAGCGAAAAGTCCCATCATCATCTCATAGATGGGAGAGATGAACAGGAAATAGAAAAAGCAAGAATGGGAGGCAGAGAATGAAGTTCAGACTGATGTCTCCAGGCTATGTAGAGGGCTGTCAGAGTAGGAGGGAACAATTTGCACCTGGCTGCAATCCACGGCATTGTTGTTTGTGTTGGCGGATGGAGTGACCTCACCATCCAACAGGAGCACCCTAGTCCCAGACTTAGGAACCTTTTCAAAAATTTTCTCCGCTTGCACATCCGGGAGTGGTGTTCGTGGCCCCTCCTCATCTATGGCGAATTCAGGGTGGGTCATGAAGTTGTGGATGGAGTTTTGGTTCTTGGGTGTCTGGATGCTTTCATGGAGGGAACTATGGAATGCTTTGACCACTTTGATCTATACCAGGGGGAGGAAGAGAAGGATGAGAAAATACAGATATGAGAATTGGCCAGTAGAACAAGAAACTGGTGGTTTGAGGAGAGAAACAAAACCCAAACTACCAAACATTATTGATCAACAACAAAAACCATACAATAGGACACTAAAAACATTTACGTGGCTCAACTTTCAAGCACTGGGGTGGGGTGAGGTGAGTAATGGCAAACAACTAGGATGTTTTAAAAGCTGCAGTAAAAAAAATAGAAAACCCAAAGCAAAGTTAGCATTCCCAAACAATTCACTCTTAAATGAAACAGAAAACAAAAAGATTCATTAGTTCTTTTGAACAGAGGGCACAAAGGTTGGAACGAGGTGCAAATTAATAGCCAAATTTAAAAGGTGAGTCAGACATGTGGACTTCTGTATTGAGGCCAAACATTTTGTGAATGTGGAATAAAAAGATTACACATTGAGGTTTAGTTATCTGTTTAAAACCCTCAAAGAGCCCAACACATACCAATCTGTACATAATACACTTTGGGTGATAAGTGACCATGAATACAATGTAGCAAGGCAGACAAACCAATCTTCATTTGTGTCAGCAGCATGCAAGAAATTAGAACTTATACTTTTCAATCGAAGAATTGCTCTTTCATCAGGTAACACGCATATATTTATATCCCACAACCTCCACCCTGTCCCCTTCCTTCCGTCCTTCCCCTGGAAGATGTGGATGAAATACAGGTATCAAAGGTATCAAAAGACACCTTCCTCCTGATATTGAGAGAAGACCTGGCTCTCACACTCAGATGCATGTCTATGTCTCTGACACATGGTAACTCTGCCCAGTCTCATAGCTTCCTCCAGCTATTTTTAAATTGCAAAGAGAAGCATGATCTTACGTGGAGAAGGAAAAGGATGGGACCTAGGGTGGGTGTAATCCTGGGGGCAGTGCTACAAACAAGTGGCTTTTCTCATGGGGTGGATGAAGAAGATGAAGGAAAAAAACCAATGTGTAGTTTTACTGTGCGAAGAAAGGGATTCAGTCAATTTAGAGAAAGGGGAAAGAATTGACCATAATTAATCTCTGAGACCAGACTGTGCCTTACCCAACACCACCCACTTTGGTAGCCTGCTTTTCTGAACTGCAGGTCTCTCTAAGGTAGATGTGGGGAACCTTTTTTGTGCCAAGGGCCATTTGGATATTTATAATATCACTAGAGGCCCGGTGCACAAATTCGTGCATGAGTGGGATCTGGCCGGCCTGCCCAGATGCGGCCCCACCCCCGATCGGGGTGTTGGGGGCTGATTGGGGGCTGGGCTGGTGGTGGGGGGGGAAGAGGGCTGATTGGGGCCTGGATCAGACTGGTTGGCTGCTGCAGTACATATCATAGCCACTGGTCATTCTAGTCATTCCACCATTCCAGTTGCTGGGCTTTTATATATATAGATTCTCAGGCCACACAAAACTATCAACTTAAAAATTAGCCTGTTGTATTTGGTCAAACATTTAATTAAATCACCCCTAATGCTTTGGCAGGGCCAGACCAAATGATTTTGCAGGCCTTATATGGCCCATGGGCTGCATGTTCCCCACCCCTGCTTCAAGGGATGATTTAGAACCTGCTTTAGTAGGATTGGGATCGGGAGAGAAAGTTGAATCCTGAGAGGTTGGAGAGAGAGGCCAGGGGAAAAGAAAGCAGTTGTAGGATTTTCGTTGGTGGCTGATCCTAGTCTTGTTTGAAAATTCTTCCCTTGGAAAAGAAGTGGGAGTAACACAGGAGAAACTGTTGAGGTGGGGATGGGGGATAGGGAGAAATGATGAGTGTTGGGTTAGGGCACCTCATACATTCCTCTGCTGTGTAACCAAAGAATACGTTCCTGGAGAAGAGGTAAGAATGTGGAGACAGCAGAGCATACAGAGAGTCAGGCAAATAATTTGGTTGGATTGCCTGTCCCAGTGCTTCCTATCACTGTATAGAGCCTTCAAAAATAGTGTGCAAAGAAGGTTCACTAAAGTTGTATCTCTGCTGGCTAGACTTTCCTTATTCTATGACAGCCTGGAAGACCCACCAGGACTGAGGGTGCTCAGAGCTTAGAGGGCAAAGGATTCTTTGCCACTAAATAGAATCAATTCAACACCCCTGCCAAGCAGAATCAAGGAACCAGGGCACACATTCACCATGCTGAAGAGAAAGTAAGGACCTGCTTTTCCATCCTTCTGTGATTCCTACTGACCATCTGATAGGTGAATTTTACCTGTTATGTTCTCTTTGATCCAGATCTAGGTGAGATTAGATGGAATAGAGTCTCCATCTGGTCTTCAGGAGGCCCCAAGTTTTAACTGATCTATGTCAAACTTAGAGCAAGGCAAGTTGGTTTGAGTAAACCTAAACCCAATGCCTTCTCCCCTGGCCCTGGTCAAGAGAAGGGTTCAAAGCCATGCCACTCCCTACAGGGGTGATAAGATAGCCCATACTTTCCACCTGCTCTTGAGATCTCAAAATTTCTAACAAGTGCTGCAGGTACCTTTATACCACCAGTTGATCATCTTCGATACCAGTACTTTTCAAACTTCCTGCTTCTGTTGTTTTAAGCATTGAGTACTTTATAGAAAGAATTATATTTGAAGTCTAATGTATAAAACAGATTTTTAAAAACTGGGGTTGTAGTGAGGGTCTGGAGCCCTACTTGCTGGCTTTTCCTCTCACCTGTTGGGGTGATCATAACAACTGTTACAGGTAAACAATAAGGGAGATAGAAAAGTGAATTGGGGGTGGGTAAATGGAACAAATAGGGAAATTTTCTTCTTTGGGGGAGCAAGGAACAGCCATCTGGCTAGACTGCAGGACTTCTGGAATCTAAAGGGAAACCAGTCACCTGCAAGGAAGCTCAAGTGAAGTGGAGTCAGAAAGCTAGGGAGCATCATCTGGAGGCTGGGGACAGAGGAAAGGGTGAGGGGATAGAGGGCACAGGGCTGTACCAGAAGGCTCCTTAAGCCCCACACGGGCCTCAGAGAATACATAACTCATGTTGCTGAACAATCACAAAGATAACCATCATCACTCCACCCAGGTCCTCTTCCCTGCCTGAGGCATGCTGCGCGGTGCACGAGCGGTGTACGGGACACAAGACAGACAGTGAGGCAGGTGCTGTGAAAGCATTAGGGTCTCTCCACTCAGCCAATCAACCCTTCTTTCCCTGGTCATCGTCTCTGAAAACCTTTGGGAAATGTCTCTTTGGTGGTCCCTGTCCTACTGGTGAAGTGGTGGATTGAAGGGCAACTCTTTCTCATGACTCAGGAGCCCCAACCAGGCTAGACCTTAGTGCTAGCTCAATGAACAGGCAGATGAAGACTCCATTTCCTGAGCTGGTATTCTGTAGTCTTCTGCTCACTTTTCAGAAACCGGGGCGGGGTGGGGAGGAGGGGGAGAGAAGAGATTAGGGCCTTCCTATAGAGGGAAATCTTAGGGATTTATCTACTGAAGTTTAGATAAATAATTGAATTTATGTGGAGATCTAAAATGGGAAAGGGAGTTTTAAACATGACTATAACTTCTAGGACCTACAAGGAAGAAGAAGCCAGAGAAAGAGCAGGGATGACCTGTGTCTCCTGATGGATTTTATAGTCTTTGATGGTTTGCAGCCTACCCTCTACCAGCAATTCTACAAGAGCCCAGTGGGCTCTGTGCCTTCTGCTTAGCTCCTTCTACCTTCGAATTGCTGGGATATCTGATACTAACCCTTCCTAGCATAAAAGCATGATTAAAAAAAAAAAAGAACAAAAATTAGTTAGAAGGATATGGCAAAACTAGAAGAAATGGAAATAAGAGAGGAATACGAGAGAAGTAGGGCGAGAGGCTCTTGGATATTTGCAGGGTAAGACTTCTTTAGTTCTTTGACTGCCTTTGGGCCAAAAGAAATATGTATTTATATAAAATCCGCCCCCCCCCCATACCTCACATGAGAATGCTTGCAGTTGGTTAAAAAGACAACAAATAATCTGCCCTGACCAGGTGGCTCAGTTGCTTGGAGTGTTGTCCTGTACACCAAAAAGTTTTGGGTCTGATTCCTGGTCAGGGCACATACCAAGGTTGTGAGTTTGATCCCCAGTCAGGTGCGTACAGGAGGTAACTGATAAATGTTTCTCTCTCACATTGATGTTTCTCTCTCTCTCTCTCTCTCTCTCTCTCTCTCTCTCTCTCTGATCAATAAACACATCCTTGGGTAAGGGTTTTTTAAAAAAGATAACAAATAATCTAAGCCTGGCCAATCTATGCAGCTCATAACCATGTGAACTACAAACAGTGCAACTGTTCTTTCTTCACCCCCCATCCCTGGGTTGGAAGGGGGGGTTGGGAGGAAGGGAGAGACAAACCCTCAGATATCTGAAACTCACAATATACTTAGTACAGAGGGATTCCTTTCCTACCAAATACTGTAATAGCACTACCAGCAAACAGACTTCTCTCTCCTCTCTGTAGCCCATTTGGGAAAGGTAAAATGACTAGGGATAGGAAGGCATAAGCATTAGCAAGTATCCAATAATCTACCAATGGGAGCACCATTGGTTGAGTGTGGGCAGCATCCCAATAGATAGGCTGGCTAAGAAAGGGGTTCCTGAAACTTTATGTGCAAAATGCGATATAAGGCGAGGCAATAGTTTTCAAACTTCCTGCTTCTATCTTTCTATTCTATTCCTAGAAGCAAGGAAAAAAAAAAAAGGTTGCTCTTCAGAAATTCCTAAATAATAAGTTTAACAGGTGAAGAAAAATGTTATTTTGACCTTTCCATATATTTTCCTCCCTGGATGTGAATTAATTGACTCTTAAACCAGAATTTGGTTTAAAGTCCCTGAAAAATAAAACAACAGGGCTGCTCAGCCCTGTGCATTTGCATTGAACACTTTCATGTCTTCTTCACATTCAGTTCTAACTTTTATGCCAACACTGCCAGCTAACAATAGAGTGGTCTCCAAAAAGGAGTATTATTAATGGCAAAGTTCAATACTGATTAATTATGAAAGGTCTAGTGGTAAAAAAAAACAACCCATGGGAACAATAGCCCCCTTCATACCTTTCTTAGGAGACCTCAAACTTGCCTCCAGATGAAGAGAGTTCTGGGTTTCATTTGACCTAACCTTACATCTAGCCTCAGGAACTGAGGAGCAGACGGAGAGGAACAGCAACATATCAGAACAAAGCAAAATACAGAAAAAAAAAATAAAGTAAAGCAAAACAAAAAAACTTGAGGAAGAAACAAGCAATGCAGAGGAACAACTAGAAAACAGGGCTATTGTCTTTAAAATGGTTATGGTTTAATAGTTTTTCAACATTATTAATAAATAAATACATAAATAATAAATAAGTAATAAATAAATAGGCAGGCACATAGGCTGGTTTTGGAGTGGGCTTTTTATCCAGTTTTTCTTCCCTTAAGTCAGAGGTCAAAGGGAAAACCAAAAGAAAAAGATAACCATGGTTGGTTAAAGTGGATGCCACGTGCTCTCTTGTGGTCATTTTAGCAAATCATGCATCATAATAGACTATCACTCACTGCCCAGAGTAGGAGATGAAACAGCATCAGGAACAGAAGTGTTGGGGGAAGATTTGACTGGTGGAACTGTTACATAGGATGAGCTAGGAACATGTTTTACATCAAGGTGTTGACCCATGGTCGGTCGCTTTATGACTCCCTTAAAATTGGCTCCCGTCTGGAATGTGTTAATTACGTCGATCTGCAAAGAATCAGAGAGTGAAACAGCTTTGCTCCACAGTCAGAGAGAGGTGAAGAGAGAGAAAGGGAGGGTGGTGGAGGGTTCGGGAAGGGGGACGGAAGGAGCTGGGAAACAGGACAGGAGAGAGACAGCCAGATATCCCTCACACACAAAGCAGTGGTGAGGAGCAGGGGGAAACGTGTCCATTGCACATCACACTTCAGTTAGGGAACAATTTGCCATGGAGTCCAAATACCCAGCCAGAATCCGGCCTGCTCTCCCCTTTTAGCCAATTGGAGGCTATTTTAGGTATGCCGGTGTCCAAGGCATCTAAAATTTCTAGGGACTCCCACACTCCATGATGACTCAGACAGTGACAGCCTATTTACTGTTTTCATCTGTACTCTTAAAAAATCAGGTGTGCAATTTAAAATAGAAGGCAAAGTATATATTACTGCATCTTGAGGTTCAGGAACCTCTAAACCAATGAAATCGACTACCTATTTTTACAGATTTTCCAAGAAAATAACTCATGTGTTTAAAGGAAAAACAGCCCATACATAGGGGGCCACGGTGGCAAGGCTCCTGGGTCATGGGTTGCTGGGCTCACTCTCTTAGGGGGTTCTTCTCTGAGATATCCTTCTCTTGGTCTGAGGTAGACAGGGACAGAGAATGGAGCTCAGAAATCCAATGGCCAGGCTCTCCAATGGCCAGGCTCTTTAGAGAGGATGCCACTAGCTACATTAATGCATTGTAGATCCAGAAATGTCCAGCAGAAATGCTGACAATAACTCAGCAGGGAGACTGAGGGAGGGAGGGGCAGAAAGAGTTGTTGCTAGTTGGTGGGTGGTGAGCAGCCTTAAGGCTAGCCCTACGTAGCGGTCTGTGGTCTCCAGGGCTCTACCCATCTGGGACAGAGGCAATCCATGCCATTTGTTTTCCAGTGATGGTCTGGGTGTGGGGCCTTGGTCAAACCTACCATCCGTATCCCTGACCCCTAAGTAACAAGGAACAAATCAAAAGGAGTTTCTTTATCCTTCAGAATCTGGTAGAATCATCTTAAAAACGCCCACGGGCTTAGTACCAATGGCCAATCTCCCAGGAATGCTGGAAGGGCCTGATTCCACTCATCTGACTGCATTTCCTAGGAGCGAAGGTGGGAAAGCAGGCACCGTGCGAGTCAGCTAGTCTTACTAATAAAGCTTCCTGAGAAGCCATGAGGTGTGCAGGGCTAGTTTCTGGATTCTGAGCGGAAACACCACCCGTTCACCAGTTCTCAGTTCCAGGGACAGAGCAGCCTGATCCCGTAGGAGGAAAGGGTCTGCATGGAGGGAGGGCTCAGCTACATGGAGAAGAGGCTGTGGCGACACCTCCCTCAGCGCTTTCCTAGGGTTATGAGGTCTCATCTTATACAATGAAATCAGATCCCAGATTTACCTTCCCCAGGTTCTAGCCCTTGTTTCCCAAACTTCTGCTTTCTAGTGCTTTTAGCTCTCCCCAGCGAAAGGGACCAGGACGGGACAAGGGCTTGGCAACACCTCCCGCCCTAAGTGTTGCCATGAGAATGGCAACAAAGATCAGGAATCAGATGGCAGGGGGTTTTGTTAGGACTCTGCTGAGGCTGAAGAACTGTGCCAGGAGAGAGCTTCAGGTGCCGGATACAGGTTGGCACAGGCAGCCTCGTCTGCTTATAGTCAGGTGCACACTGCAATGGCACGGATTTGGTTACTGTGGCATCTTTCACAGGCTGCCTTTGCTGCCTAAGTTTAGGCTTTAATGCCATTCTGGCCCAACCGCCTCATGCTCCAATCGGGAAAGGTAGCATTCTTAAAGCGCTGTAGGCCATGAAACTACACAGTCCAAGGAGTGAACATTGGTGGTGGAGGGGGAAGGAAGGAAGATCCATGAGTCTCAAGCCCCAGGAGAGAAGACTGGCAAGGAGCCAGGAGACACTGGAACAAGGGAGTCCTGGCTAGGAAAGAAACCACATAGTAGGAGAGGAGGCAGAGGATCCTGAGGGGAAGAAAAGCAGACAGGTTATTTCGAAAACAGCAGATGTGAAGGAAAGCACTGGGCCTTAGTGACAGGAGCCAAAGGTGCCAGGTTCCCTGGGCCCTGAGGCCACTGCTGGATGGGCCAGCAGCCTGGAGAGTGGCGGGAGGAGGGTGGGGACTTGGGATGTCCCGAGGCAGTGTGTGCAGGTCCTGTGGGAATTGCCCTCTCTGGGAGGAGGAACTCGAGGGAGGGGGAGGGAGTCCCGGTGTTTTCCTACCTGGCCCCTTTCCCGCTCCCACTTGTTCCTTGCCTCCGCGAGACAAGTTCTCAGCAGGCATTTAGTTTAGAATATCCACTGTACCTCCTTTCTATGCACTAAGGAGAAAAGGTGGGCTTGACTAGGGAACTTTCTAAATATCTGCAAGGCTAATTTTAGAGAGTGACACTTATTTCTGGGTCTCAGCCAATCAGTAGAGAGGAATAGGCCTGTTCTTTGGAGAGCATCCTTGACATCTTGGGATTTAAAGTTTCTTGAAGTGGGAAATCTCAGGACTAACACAACTGAGGCCTGTGGGGCAAGAACAGGGAGGGTGACAGGGTTACCAGTGCCTAGACCGGCCCACTCACCCAGCAGAAGGTAGATACAGTGGCTTAAAAAGTGGGGGAGAGTTTCTGTAAGGCTGTAGGCAGGGGACTTAAGGGCAAGAGGAAAGCTTCTCTTCTCTCTCAGAAATTGCAAGAAAACGAAGTTTGAAGAAATGATAGCTTCTTTTTGGGGAAGCAAGTCTGGATCCTGCAAACGATACTCAGGCATTGAGAGACCAGTCATTTATACACACTTAGCCATCAGGTTCTCCACCATGACCTTAAATTTCAAGTGGGGAAGATTTAAGAGGGTGAGTTTCTTTTACAAAAATCCCTCCAGGTAACATCGACATTACCCTGGCAGCGGCTTGAGGATGTATATTAAGTGCCTGCTGGGGCTGCTGGCATAGAGACACTATCTAACTCCTTCCTTCTGAAGGGTAGGGAAGGACTCTGAACTTTCCCACCCTGGGTTAGGTCTAGTGCTTGCGAGAGACCTCGTACAGGAAGCTAGCCCAGCCCAATGGAGGGTGGGGAAAGGGCTTTAGAACCAAACCAAAGCTGAAGGACTGAGCTAACCGTTAGTCTCCCGAGCTCTAGGTCCATGACTCTCCTCTCAGAGGAGCTGGCGAAGCTGCCTCTGCCCCTGTCTGTCCTAAAGCCAGGGAGCTAGGGCTGCCTGTTAGTAGCGGGCCTTGTAAGGGAAGAGACGTTGGCCACCAAGAACTGATGCCCTCCCCAAACTTCCCATGATGGGGAGACTTCTCCCAGGATGAGGCTAGACCACTATCCAAGTACCTGAGTCTGGATACGGTTCAGACCCCGGAACCAGAGGATCTGGCCTCGGCGTAGCTCCATCTCCGCGTGGTCAATTTCGTCTAGCCCCTCTGCATCCCTGGTGATCTCCTCCTTGGCAGTGCCATGCCCGGCCTCCTTCAGGAACTTCAGGGATTGGGTAGGTATTGTGGAGATGACCTGAGAACAGGTGCGGCAAAAGGGGAAACACCAGAATCAGGGGCAGGCCCTTGGGGAAGTCTCTCTTTGCACTATCACCCATCCCATTGGGAGAAAAGCGGGAGAAGCACTAGACGTGCCCATAAGCTGTGAGGACCTCAGGAGGGCTTTCTGTATTTGTGGACATCCAACAGAGAACATATATCTAGCATCTGACCAGTCGTCTGCCTAGTTATGTTTCCTTCTCCTTCTGTCTCAGTTCTTCCTTCTCATTATGCCATGTGTCTTTTCCGGGAAGTAGAACTATGATGCCTGTTATATGGTAGGAGGGGACAGAGACCAGGACTCAGGGGAAAACAAGTCTGGGGAAAGGATGGTCATGTTACATGTGTGCGAGTAAGGGGTAGAGAGGGTGTTGGAAAAGAACGAGCCTCTTCTTAGTTACCACGTGCAGAGCAATTCCTTGCTATAAAACTGTAGTGAGAGGATACTAAAGTCTTCTTGGACTTGGGTGAGGAAGGAGGTGGGGCAGGCCATGGAAGAAAGGACATATGAGTATGACCAGAAGCCACGGAGCAGTAGGGTAGGTTTGTAATTCATAATAAACCACTTGGTGAGCTCAGTGCCTGTCAATCAATTGTCCTCCACATACAAGAGGGGGAGTAGAGAGGGCTCGGGTGGGGAAGAAGAGCTGTGTGGGCAGTCCAACATGGACCCAAGGGCATTCAAATAGGAAGAATGTCAAAGCTGTGCTTTCGGATCTTGGAAGGAGCTGCTGTGATACAGGAGAAAGGCCACAGTCACAGACTAGACACAGATGAGAGCTTCAAACAGCAGGTGAAACAACCAAGCTTCGCCCTAATGTAAGCTGCTTTAGGGAACCACTGGCAAATGAACTTCAGCAAGCAGAACAGGGTGGAGGGACCTGGGTTAGGAGCTGGGATAGCACCTAATCAGGGAGGGACCCGGGAGGTATGAAAGAAACAACTAGCAGGTCTCCAGGGGAAAGCCTGCAGCCCCATGGAGGGGTCTTTGGGGTCAGTTAGAGCAAAGCAGGGACCTTGCAAAGTGGTGTTAGGACAGGAATGATACTCTTACCAGACCCGATGATATTATTATGATCTTAACAGCTAACATTTATTGCGTACTTACAGTAAACATGGTTCTCAGTCATTCTATACAGTAACTGATTTTCTGATTAATAACAATGAACAATGACCCTGTTATCCTAAGCTGAGGAAACGAGTGGTTAAGAAACTTGTTCAAATTGTAAAAAGGAGAGCTGGAATTCAAACTCAGGCAGTTGATCCAACATCTGTGCTCTGAGCTGTGTGCTAGACTGCTTCTCCAGAGACCTTGTGGGTCTGGATTTATTTTAGGCGAGAGTCAGGCATTCAACCCAGACAAGGCCACGGTGAGAAACAGAAGAGTGGGGGAGCCTTAAACTATGCCAGCAGAGTAGCCAGGGCCAGACTGAAGCCTCATTAGCATAAAGACATATGCTTTTGTAAACTCTTCTACTTCTAAGACCCTTACTTTATTATTATTATTATTTTAAAGCAAAATTTCATTTAAATTTCCCACTCCCATCTCAGAGAAGCTCAGGCCTGGTCAGAGAAAGATCCGAAACCTCTAAAGTGATGGGCAGTGGTCACTCCACCTTGGGATCCTACAAGATGGGAAACATTTAAAAACTTGAGGTCTGCAGGCTGTACGCACGCACAGGGAGGGTGGGCCTGTACTCACCTGGCCCCACAGCAGTTCTCCGATGCCAATGAAGAGACACCAAAACCACTGGGACAGGCTGAGCTTCGTACAGCTGAAAGGCTTACCCCCAAATTCCACGATGATAATCTAGAAGAGAGAAGGCATAGACCGCCATCAGGGAGGTGCGTGAGAGGTGTTAGCCCTCCAGCTAAAGCCATCAGAGCCACATAAGTCCTCGCCCCAGGAGTCCTGTGGCCTAAGTCCTGATTTCCTTGCGGGGGAGGAGAAAGAAAAAATCCAGAACGCGAGAAGGGGAGGAAGACACAGGCTTCAGCACTCTGATAAGGAGACAGTCTGACCCTGACTAGGGCAAGAAGGAAGGGCCCGCTCCTCTTACCACCAGGGCAGCCATGCTCTTGACCCCTGACCCCATGGGAGCCCAAGCCAGGCTTATCTGTCAGCTAATGCACTCCATCCCATCACTGCCCTTTCTCTGTGAACGGCACAGCATGTTCTACTGAGAGAGCCCACAGCACGTGCATGCACATCTCATGTGCTGGCAGGAGGCCTGGGAAGTGGGTGGAAGAGAGTGACCCTCCTCTTGGTCACGTTGTGAGATTTCTGTGTTTGAGGCAGATAAACGAAAGGATTCTGCACGTCTACGTCTTGTTTTATTTGTCACCGACATGCTGCCTTGAGCTGGAGCGCTTGACACAGCGGGTCCCAAGTCTAGAGCCACGTGCAAATGGAAGCCAGCGGAGAACCCAGCAGCCCACAGCCCGAATCCCCATCACTCCCTCACTCTTTTTTCCCAGGTACTTCGGGAACCCTGGCTCCCAGCTTCTGGCCTGGATCACCTCAGACTTCCTACCCCAACTCCAGCTGGCATCTCACCTGGCTGATGAATGTGCCCAAAACCACAGAACAAAAGATGAGGTTACGGAAGATGCCTCCAAAGACATTCCTCTCCCCGTGGATCTTGCGTGAGTTGATTTCGTTGAAGAGCTGCATCAGCACAAAAGTGTTGAAAACAATGGTGTAGTGCTGGCTGGGTGGGGAATGTAGAGGCGCGTTCCTCCCACTATCAATGTCAAAGAATTTCTCACCTAGTGGAGAGAGGGGAAGCACTGGAGGGTAAGTATGAACTCAGCGGGCTCGCGCTGAGTCAGACACGTTGGTGTGGCCATACTGCCTGCGGATGGCTGGTGTGCGAAGTGGTCAGTATCTGAGCTACACTAATGATTAAATCTGTTAAATGTTAGCCCTGACCTCCACATACCTGACTGTCCCAGTATGCCCCAGTATTTATCTTCTTGTAGTGCAGTATGGTTGTAAAACCATGTGCACCAGAGTCAGGGAAGCAAGGGTCTGAATCTCAGCACCACTGTTATGTGGCCTGAGCTTTCGTTTGATGATCAATAAGAAAAGGCATAATGAAACTCTTAACAGAAGCACAGAACCCGGCATGACGGCCCTCTAGCGGGAACAGAGGACACACTCGTGAGTGAAGCTGCTGCTCCTCCTAGTCTTGTGCTCAGCTTGCTCCCTTCTCCCTCCTGTCCTCGGGCCACTCCCCGCCCCATCTTCGTCCGGCACCCCAACCACCACCTCAGGCCTCCCCACACTCGGCTCACCGGCAAAGACAAGGAAGAAGATGATTGTGAGCTGATAGACCGCGTGGCCCAAGATGTTCTTCATCATGGTCCGTGAGATCAGAGGCTTATTTCGGCCATAGGGGCGACGCTTCAACAAGGAATCGGTGGGGGGCTCTGTGGCCAGGGCCAGTGAGGCAAACGTGTCCATGATTAGATTCACCCACAGCATCTGCACAGCTTTCAACGGGGAGTCCTGAGTGATGCAGGCTCCAGTGAAGGCCACAACTTTTAGCTTTCCTCAGAAGCCACCCTCCCCTCACTCGTCAGCCTCACCTTTGTTCTAGAGATGGCCTAGCTCCTGCTGTCCACCTAGACTTAGGGTCTGGCCTCCTGCACACTCCCTACTGGTGATCGAGCCTGCAACCTGGGCATGTGCCCTGACCGGGAATCGAACCGGCCACCTTTATTTTATTATTTATTTATTTATTTATTTATTATTGATTAAGGTATTACGTATGTGTGCTTATCCCCCTATTGCTCCCAACCCCACTCCCACTCATGCCCTCACCCGCCTGGTATCTGTGTCCATTGGTTATGATTATATGGATGCATACAAGCCATCTTTTGGTGCCTGGGATGGCACTCACCAACTGAGCCACACCGGCCAGGGCACTCCCCACATTCCTTAGCCCCTGCCTCATCTCTCCCAGTTCAGCCCCCTCCACCCACACTCCCCTCACCTGAGTGATGCAGGCTCCGGTGAAGGCCACGATCACGGCCACCACATTGACAGTGAGCTGGAACTGCAAGAACTTGGAGATACTGTCGTAGACGTTTCGTCCCCACATCATGCCTTTCACAATGCTGGTAAAGTTGTCATCTGTTAGGATGATGTCTGATGCCTCCTTTGCCACATCTGTGCCTGCAATACCCTGAGGGGAGAAGGGAAGGAAAACTGAGGAACTGGATAAAGCAGCGTTTACCAGCGTTCTGAACCCAGACTCCATTTCCTGACTTCCAAGAAGCTGCCGAACTAGGGCTAACACTAGAGGGCACACCAGCCACACAAGTACTAAAGACGAGTTATCTTCTTTCCCAAAGAAAATGAAGGGAAAATGTGCTGCCATCACTTTACAGAAAAGAGGCCCAATGCTCCCACCTCACTCCTGAACCCAGATTGCAAATTAGTTATCTTTCGCTATTCCTCTCTCTTTCCTCCTACTCCGCCACCCTAGAAACGAATTAAAAGATAAGGAACAAATCCTATCCTACCTCCAAATTCTTAAATTTCCTTTGCCACTGCCAGTATCTCATTTAAGTGCTTATCTGCCCCGCAACTTTAAGTAGGAGAAGTAGTCTGGCAGCACAGTTCACAAGTCTTGTCCTTGTTCAAAACCTCGCCACTGGGCAAGCACTGAAGGTTTCTGAATAGACTATGAGGGGTTGAAAGCTGTGCTTTAGAAACAGTGAGCTTTCTGGTCCGGCAGTCAGAGCTCTTAATAAGTGAACCCGGAAGCACTTCCAACCAGCACTTCCAACCTGTTCTTATATATCTTTCTGCTCGACACCCACTGGTTTATTCCCTGAATCTCTCATTCACTCTTAGAGCCTAGACTTCTACTTACCCCATCCCCCGTCTGGAACATGCTCTTTCCCCATCTCCTTAAATCTTACTTATCTTTAATGTTCCACTCAATTAAGCGCTACTTGCTTTGCACAGCTGTCCCTGACACCCTGGCCCGTGCTTCTATTCCACATCAAACATGCCTTGCGACGTCTGTAACCCAAGGAGGAGCTTGTTAGTTAATTTGGCTTGCATTACTAGATTATTGGTTCTCTTTACCTGGTAGTATTAATTTCCTATCCAGAGCGCAACAGATGAGTATCTGTTAGACTATACAATTCACTTTCCCTATCAAAAGTTCTCTAATACACACATGCAATGCTGTACCATGCACTGTAAAAAGAGGAGGAAAAGAAAGGAGGAATGTCTCTCTATACTGCCACCATGGAATAATCTCCAAGTTATGCTGCTAAGTGAAAAAAGCAAATGGAAAAAAGTGCATAGTACATGTATTTTATAGGAGCAAACAGAAGGATAAACCAAAAAAACTAAAGAAATAAGTTCCATGTGGGGTTAAGAGGGAGGTAATAGGGTGGAAGTGATAGGAATAGAAGCTAGATTTCTATGAATAGACCTTATTTTCTATATTTGACTTTAGAATTATCTAACTACTTTATATAAGTACTAAACAAAATTAAGTTTAAAAAGCAGTTTCTAGCCCTGGCTGGTGTGGCTCGGTTAGGTGGAGTGTCGTCCTGTGCACTGAAAGGGCATGGGTTTGATTCCTGGTCAGGGCACATGCCTAGGTTGCAGGTTCAGTCCCTGTTTGGGGTGCATATGAGAGGCAACCAACTGATGTTTCTCTCATGTCAAATCTTTTTTTCTCTCTCTCTTCCTCTCTCTCTAAAATCGGTAAAAAACATGTGCTCAGGCGAGGGTTAAAAAAAAAAAAAGGTATGCCCTAGCTGGTTTGGCTCAGTGGATAGAGCATTGGCCCACAGGGTCCAATTCTGGTCAAGGGCATGTACCTCAGTTGCAGGCTCAACCCCCAGACCTGCTTGGGGTGCGTGCAGGAGGCAACCAATCAATGTGTCTCTCTCACATCGATGTTTCTCTCTCTGTCTCTCCCCCTGCCTTCCATTCTCTATAAAAATCAATAAAAAATACCCTTGGGTGAGGATTAACAACCACAAAACAAACAAACATAAGGTTCTATACCTCACTCACCATTGAATAAGGTATAAAATTAAAAAGCAAAACAAAGCAATCTCTAAATCGAAAAGCAACATGATGTAAATGAACTGGTATGACCAGTTGGTAGCACAACCGTACAAAGGACAAATGTCTCAAGTGACTTTTTAAAAAGCACAGCAAGTTGATGGCACATTCTTAGTAGGATGTACCTGCGGGGGGAAAAGAACCATAAGAAAAACCTTTAACTGCTTTTAGTAGAGTAATTGTATTATGGTTGCTCTTTTGAAACCATTATGTGTATTTTTTATATATAAAGCAAATACTAATTATGTTAATGTCCTTAGACATCAAAAGAGCACACATTCCACATGGAACACGAATTTTCCACGTGAGCCTAGACACAGACTACTACCAGGTCCACAGGGCAAGTCCAAGTTGGCCTCGAGTTCCTGGGTCATGCCACTTCCTCATTTCCCTGCCTGTGTCGCCGAGCCTTCGTACTCCACGGTCCCCGTTTTTGCTTATTATTACTGGCCGGTAGGTAGAGAGATGGAGTCAGAGACAGGAGCGGCTGCTTACCATCGCAAAACCCACGTCTGCTTTCTTCAGAGCCGGCCCGTCGTTGGTGCCATCACCTGTGACCGCCACCACCTGTCGCTGCTCCCCAACCGTGCTGTCAATGATGCCTGGGAAGGGCAGACACCCTCAGTCAGTCCGCCTTGTCCCCACACAAGGTCTTCTTCCCGGATCCCGCCAACACCTCCCTTCCTACAGCCTCCCCACTGCCCTCTGCTGGACGTGCTAGACCATCACCCACGGGCAGTGCGTTGAGCAAGAAAGTCAAGGGGAGCGCGCTGAGTAAGAAAGTCGGTCTTCCTCACACAGCGCCTGGGGCCCCAAGACAGCTGTTACGTGGCACAAAACCTCCACGTGACTTGAAGGCAGACACCTGGGGTCGAACTACCACGTCCACGCACCAGCTGGGCAGCGTGGGCACGCCACCTGTCTTTTCAGCCTCAGACTTAACCTGCCCTGCCTAGTTCATAGTATCATTGGCAAACAACATACAGGGTGGGGCAAAAGCAGGTTTACAGTTGTGAGCAGGTGAAACAGTTTATTCTTATATTTATTAATTATTGTATTATTTTCCATACAAACAGCTGTAAGCCTGCTTTTGCCCCACCCCGTATGATAATGTTTAAAAACAACTTTATTATACGCCTGATACTCACCAGGGGCTCAGCTTTTGCTAAACTGTATATTGTCCCCATGAGCCAGCGAGCTCTCCCAGGACCACCCTACTCAGGGAAGTAGCTTTGGTTTGGCGTCTGGTTTCTACCTGTCCCCGCCCCGGCCTGTCTTCCCTACCCGTCCCTGCTCAGGGGCTGACCTCACCTTTCACCAGCGTGTGCTTGTCCGTGGGGGAAGATCGCGCCAGGACTCGAAGCTTAGGCCAGATCTTGTCCAGCTTTTCTTGCTCTACCTGCCAATACCAGACCACACCTGGGTCAGTCAAGTTCAGAAGAGCCCCCGAGGAAAAACCCTCCCGTTCCGCATACTCCACGGCCAGGGAAGGGGTCGCCTGCCCCAGTGCAAATGCAGCAGCTGACCTGTCTCCAAGGGCAGATTCACGGATGGTGCCCCTCCAGGCCCTGCTTGTCTGCCTTCTCCACCCAATTCCCTACCTGGAGCTGATCCCCTATTTCTAGACCCTTGACGGGGGGTGAGCCAGGGTCAGCTAAATGGCTAAAGTGGTGCTTCTGAGGCCTCAGGTTTGATTTCGACATAGACCAGGAAGCTCTGGTCTGCTCCACACCCAGACCACATCCTCCTACAAACCCTGCCACTGTCAGTCACAGGGCAGTGGCCCAGGAGGACAGAGGCCGACTGAAAAAAAAACACGGAAAGATGTGAAAAGTCAGTGACACCCCCTCAAAAGTGAGCTTGTGAATGAAGGTCGTGAGAAGGAAGCTCTTCATTCTACCACCTGAGCAGCCTTGGTGGAAGGGATGTTCACTATGAGTAACTTTCAGTTTGAAAAGCACCCGCTTTCTCCCATGTGCCCCGGGTGCCGAACACAAGACCCGGCCCTTCCCTTGCCAAACGAGGGCCCGGTTCCGCTCACCCAGGACCCACCTCGCCCTTCTCGTTGCGGATGAGTCGGTTGAACTCCTTCCCTTCCAGGCACAGGAAATCGTCCCCAGGTGCTATGATGCCACATTTGGTGGCAATGGCCCGGGCTGTGTTGACGTTGTCCCCTGTCACCATTCTGACAGTAATGCCAGCTCGTCTGCATTTGGCAATAGCGTCTGGCACCTGCGGAGGGGGAGGTGAGAGGAGAGGAGCAGCTGGTGATGCTGGTGAGCGGCCCTGCTCAGCTGCTCCTTCATCGTGGACAGGACCGGGGCCCCCTCGGAGCAGTGCCACCCCACTTCTGTCACGTTGGCATTAGCCTCGTGTACCAGGCGTTGAAGGGGAGACTGGCTGCAGGAGCCAGGAGTAGATGCTCGCTCTCCCACGTGCAATCTAGACTCCTCAGCGGGGCACCTATGGCCTTTTGAGATGTGGCACTGCCTTCCTTTCTAGCAGAAGTTTTTACACTCTCCACCCTCTCTCCCCGCTCCCTGGCCCACTCTCCAACCACATCAATTCCTTGCGGTTTCCCAAACGCAGGACACCCTTCCAAGCTTCTGGGTCTTGATAATTGATAGCCTATCTCCCTGAACTTCTCAGGAGCAGAGGCTTTTGCAATTCCCTAGGGTCAAGAACAGTGTTGGGCTATTCTGGCGGGGAGGGGGAATCAACAAAAATACGTTGATTGCAAGAAGGTGGCCAGAGACAAAGCTGGTGTCCTGATGAATTCTTCCTCCTGACTATTCTCACGAGCCAAACGATGAGCCCAGTGAGCCCTGTGCTGCGCACCCCGAAGCAGCGCTAACCGAAGGGATGGCACCTTCCGTCAGCTCGGCACTCTGCAGTTCTGTGGGGCTGGCAGCACAGAGACAGCGCTCCGTGTAGGTGAGAAAGAGTTAGGTCACTTGCGTGGGTCACAACTGGAAGCAGAGCCAGTACCCTCGTTCCCGTGACTCCTGGTGGCTTCCCAGTAGGTCACATGGGGCCTACACGTGGGCCAGAGGCCACCGGAAGACTCCCACTCATGTGTTCTTGCCCTTTCTCCAACCCAACGTCTCACCTCTGGGCGCACAGGGTCCTCGATGCCCACCACTGCGATGCAGGTCAGTTCAGTGAGGATTTCGTTCTCATGGTCCCACGGGGGCTCTACGTCATTGAAATCTCGATAAGCTAAGCAGATGGTCCGGAGTCCCTCACTGGCCATGGGCTCGATGACAGTGCGCACTACCTCATCGCGGTCCGTACTCTTGAATGGCACTGCTTCTCCGTTCTTGTCCAGGATGCGATTACACCTGGGGAGGCGCACAGTCAGAAAGCAGCCGCCCCCTTCCCACCCAGTGTGTCTCTACAGACATTCTGGCAACTCTGCAGGTCTTCTAAAAACCCTGTTCCCTGGCCACCACCCAGCCGGGCCCCCCTTTCAAGGTGGGGTGGCCTGTAGGTCGACAGGCACATCTAGAGAGGCGGAGCGTGTCATTCTCCCATGTCATCTGTTCCCACGCATGTGGGACGCAGTGCCAAGAGTCATTTGTGGAACTTCTCAAAGGTAGAGAGATGTTTTTTGTGCCCAGTATCTACAACAGTGCTCAGTGGGTAGGGTGTGTTCAACAAGAATGTGTTCATTGACAAAGGTGGCCAGAGCCAAGTTGGGGTGCTGGTTAGTTCAGTTACTGGCCCTATACCCATGCAGGTCAACTGGTAATGGCCTGGGGGGGGGGGGGGGGGGGGGTTACCCAGCCACTTTGAGTAGGTTATTGACTTTCCTGTAATTAGAATTGAGAATAAGAAGGAAGAGGGAACACAGAGCTAACATTTCTCGAGCTTGCCATGTGCAAGGAAGGTGTTTATATACATCGAATCATTGAATTATCGCAACCCCGTGCGATGGGTGGGTATTGCTCTCTGCTTTCAGACTGGGGATGGAAGCTTGAACGGCCTGAATCCTGGCCGTGCCACTATTAGTTGCATCACCTTGAGCCAGGTACTTCTCCTCGCTGTACCTCTGTTTTCTCATTTGTAAAAGAGATGATGATAGCATCTTCCTCACTGATTTGTGAGGATTAGGTAAAATGAGCCACCGAAGGGGCTTAGAGACAATGCTTGGCCTGAGTAAGTGCTCAGAGGCTAGGAGCTGGCGCATCACTCGGTGGGTTCAGCCTGGGGCATGTCCCCTGGGCCTTCGTGAGGGAGGATCTGGAAGGGAAGAGGGGGAGGGAGAGCTCACTTGCGCAGGATGATCTCGGAGGCGCCCTTGCTGTACATGCGGTAGCCGCCGCCGGGCTTCTGGATGACCGTGCTCATGGACTTGCGCGACGAGTTGAAGGTGTACACCTTGTAGAACTTCTCCTCGGGCACCTCGCTGCGCACGGCGTGGTAGTCCTGCTTCAGGTCGATGACGAAGCCCAGCAGCGAGCACTCCGTCTTGTTGCCCACCTGTCGCGGCAGGCCCCCCTCCTTCTCCGGAGGCTGGGAGGGAAACACACACGCACCCCTGAAGAAGATGCCTCCGCCAGGGAGACCTCAGGAGGGAAAGAACGCCCCGCAGACCTTTCACATGTTTGCCCAGAGCCCAGGGGGTGGGAGGGCGGCGTTTGTTTTTTTCAAGGGCAGGTGGACAGTGGTCAGTGGGACTGGTCCCTGAGCCGTCTGGGTTATGGGTTTTCAGTTTGCCCTGGGGTCGGTGCTGGTGGCTCACCCTTTGTGGATCTCATTCTAATCCCCTCTCTGAATTTCTGGAAAGTGAGTACTTTACTCCTGATAAGCCCAGTTCTGCTCTCAGCATGAGGCATCTCCCTGGAGATATTGTCTTTACATGGTAATTGGAGGGCATTTCACAGCCATAGATTCCTACCTGTCACCCCGGCTGCCACCCCCAATCTACTTCCATGGATTACTCCCTAGTTTCACCCCAAACGCATTCACTTAAGAGTAGGAAATGCAATGTGGAATGGCAGCTCAGGCAGAATGAACAAGAGAAGATGACGTGTCTCAGAGAAAATGAATGTTCCCTCCAACCGCCCATTCTAAATGTCCAGGAAAGGAGGAGCTTACCAGGATCTTGGAGGTGTAGGCACTGTTGATAGAAATGCCATTGACAAGAAGGTCCAGGACCTTAGGCGCCAAGACATCAGGGCTTGGGATCTGACGGTAATGGGTATTTCCGATGTAAGCTTGTACCACCGTCATGCGGTTCATGGTCAACGTGCCTGTCTTGTCAGAGCAAATGGCGGTGGCATTGCCCATGGTCTCACAAGCATCCAGGTGCCGCACCAGGTTATTGTCTTTCATCATTTTCTACAGAGGACAAGAGAAAAGACTTGAGAGGGGAGCCACTGAGCTCCCCCAGGATAGGTCAAAGGCCATTTCCTAGCGAACATCTTTCCACATTTCATTCTCTTGTCCCACAGAAAAATGCAGGATACTATTCTTGTGAGTCCTCTTTAGATTCCCCTGGGTCATTGAAACACTGATGCAACTATCACAATGGTCTGTCCACAGGGCCCGGGACTGGTGCTCTTATGAGGCACCACACGGAGTCTACAGAGCATAGGTGGCCCGTCCTTTTGTCAAAGGCTGTGTGGCACTCTCCCCTCCCACCTGTGTCCTGAGGGAAGAGAAAGTGTCATTCTGGTCTCACCTTCACAGAGTAGGCCAGTGAAATGGTGACAGCCAGTGGCAGCCCCTCCGGCACAGCCACCACCAGTACAGTGATACCAATGATGAAGAACTTGACAAAGTACTGGATGTAGATGGGGGTGCACTCGGCTAGCCATGGCTTGCGCTGTATCACGAAGTTGTCAATCACAAAGTACAGAATCAGGATGAGAACGGTGACAGCAGACATGATTAGACCTGAACAGGAAACAGGTCACGTGAACCCCAGCACTTGGTCATTCCTAGGACCCGCGGCTTGAGTTGTGGCCTTTGTCACCAATTTTCAAAGCCGCTACCTCCAGGAAGTCATACTAAAACCCCCTCCCCATTCTTGTTGCTTGCATGAGTGTAGGGAGAGCCATGGGTTTTGCATTTCAGAGACACAGGTTCTGTCTCAGCACTGCACTGATTTGACTCTGGTTTTGGTCTAGTCTCTGACCCTGTCCGGCCTGTTTCCTCACACTAAGTAAGGGGGCTGGCCTAGTGTTCTGAAACAGCGTTCTATGATCTTATCTCAGACCTACTCTCTTCCCATGAGTCACAATGCAGTGATTATATTCGCCTGCTTCCTAGTAGTTTATCAGGGTAGACTTTCCCCATAGCAGCCTGAGAATGCCAGGCAATTTTGCAACTTGTTTACAGCGATGTCCCCACGGTGTTAGCATAGCACCGCCAAGACCAATCGCTAGTACAGTGTCTCCCAACCTTTCCCCTGACATGGCACAGATGAAAGGAGGCAACAACAGTACATATTTATGTAGTGCCTACTATGGGCCAGGCAAGCACTTCCTATAAACTAACCTATTTCATCCTCACGACAACCCGGTGAGATAAGTTACTGTCATTATCCCCTTTTCTGAGGAAACTAAGGCACAGAGAGGTTTTGGGTAGGGCACACTGGTGACCAATCAATCATCTGGCTTGCAGGTGAGCAGTTTCCTGGGGATGTGGGAGAATTCAGGAGGAAAAGAATTCTCTTTAAAATGTGGTCAACGTGCTAAAACCAAGAAAGTCTCAAGCAAACTGGGACAGCTGGTCAACCTACACACCAAGGCACATGGAAGGCTCTGCTCAAGGTCTACAAACAACTGGCCCAGGGGCTCCAATGGCCCTGGGGTCAGCATCTGGGCAGAGGCACCGATGTCTGTGGCATCATGTCTGCCTTACACCGTAGTCTGGTTGGGTCTTCACTTTTCCTGAGGGCCTGCTGAGCAAGGCTAGAGGTGATCAATGAATATCAATGAGAATATATTCTTTTGCACTTTGCTTCATCAGGCTCGGGGCCTAGGTGAGGCAAACAAGGTGTCCAGGGTACGAAACTGAAGGAGGTATTCCTCTCTGGGTGGCGCAAGGCACCTCATTTTCCTCATCCCAGTCCCGGCCTTGCTTGAAATGTAAAATATAACAACAGAGGAGACGACTGGCCAGCCATCAGGAAGTTTGTCCTTCCCACAGAACAACACGGGGAATAGGAGGAAAATAGGAAGGATTAGGTGAGTCTGGTTAATGTTCCAAACCTGTGTGACAGGCTCAATAACTTGACTCCACACCTGCATTTCATCTCATCCGTGTCTAGCTTATATTTAAGAGATTTCATGGTAGTCAACATTAGTTGGGTAAAAGAACTGAGTGCACAGGCTAGACTAGTGCTAACAGAACTCACTGTGGTGTTTAAAATATCCTCTATTTACACTGTCCAATATAGTAGCCACCAGCCACATGTCATTATTGACCAATCAAAATAAGGCCAGTGTGAACTGAGGAACTGAGTGTTTAATTATATTTAATTTTAGTTAATCTATCTAGAAACAACCCAACATGGTTGGCGGCTACGGTAGTGGACAGTAGATTCTAGTGTGTGCTTAGTGGGTCAGTGGCATTGGCCTCACCTGGGCTTGTTAGAAATGCAGACTCTCAGGCCCTGCCCAGACCTCCGGAATCAGACACCGTGCTTTCACAAGGTTCCAGGTGAACTGTACACACAGATGCACTGAGCTAGACTATGACTGTAGTGAGCAGAGGGGTGGGGTCAGGAAGTAATTCAACAGTGGTGCCTGGAGGGACATGTCCACTGAAGGAGCAATCTTCCTTTTGTTCCACCTCCAAAGCCCTCACCCCATCCCACCACTGAAAGAATGCAGAGGACAGACTTATAGCGGGAAGTCATGGAGAAGCCACCTCCTCCTGCGACTCACAAGAGCACGCTAGTGACCTGTTTTCTGCATCAGCCTGTGGCCGCTGCCTCCCTTCCCCCTCTATCTTCTGTACACCCCCCGCCCCCATCTTTATTTTGAGCTTATGGCTCTGTGCCTGGCCTGATGCTACTACTCTGCTAGGGAACTACCTCTAACAACCTTCTCTACCCTTAAGGAATTGACAAGCCCATACATGTGACAGGTAAGCAGTTATTACGGTCTCCCTTCTTGCTAATGTAAATCTCTCGTGTTGTGATATAAGTTCTTAACTTCCCATGTGTCTGGATGAGAGACCTCAGGGCCTTAAACCCTTACACGTGGGCAAACACTTCTCTCTGAGAGCCTAGGAGGGGTCATGATGCAGCTGCCTAGGCCGCACCAGCCCCTGGGAAGGCTCAGCTTCCTCTGCCAGACCTGGCGGGTGTGGAGGGAAAGGAACCGACGCAGCGAGACTCTGGAACAGCCTCGATAAACCACAACAACCGGAAGGCTCCACTCGACTCACCAGCTTTCCCGATCTGGACAGCCAAGCGCGTCAGCTTGCCCTGCAGCACCGACTTCTCCTTCTTGGGCAGCTTGACCACCTTCTTCTCCTTCTCCTCACTGTCGATGCCTTCCTGGCTGTTGAGTGGCTGGATTTCCAGGGCCACCCCATCTTGAGCCTTTGCTAGGGTGCACACACAAATAGGACAGGTGAGCGGGCAGGTAGCAGCATGGAGCAGCAGACAGGTGGAAACCAAAACACCCTTCTGTCTTCTTCCTGGATAAGCCTTGGACCCCTGACATCAGTCCTGACCACTCTCACCCTAGGCCAGAGAGGGCACTGGCCTTCAACCCTCTATTATGGCCACGGGATAATATTCTAAGAACTGGAGATAAAACAGGGGTGCTTTGGGGGTACAGATTCCCTCAGATGGTGCAGCTTCCTGGCACCACCTCAGAGCCCCAAGCCAGGTTTATTCTAGGGAGAGGATTAGTCATGCCATTAAGTGCTATTACCAACAACCACCCTTCCTGGAAGTTAGTAGTCACTACAGTGAATCTTTCTTGCAGAAAGGGGCTGAGGGGAAGGCTGGCAGATGTTTCCAGAGGTAAGTGTCCTAGTCTGCTCTGTGAAAAGGTTCCTCTCTCTCTACGCATAGACTGCCAGGGAAGAAACACAGACCCCCATCAAGGGTGTTCGCCAGCTCCTTCTTCTATCGGGTGAACAAGGGAAGGGAATCCCTGGCAAAGGTGGGGAGTCACAGAGTAGGACCTGGGGCTAGTCTTCTGGGGGAGAGGGAAGAAGCTGCTGTGAGGGACCCCTGGAGTAAGAGAAAGAAGGGATAAAGACAGACACATAAATCCATTTTGCTTTTTAAAGAAGAGACAGAGAGACCTAAAATTAAAGAATCATTTCTGTGCAGCCCTGGTTCTCCAATGTGAAGACTTTATTTTAAAGACTGCTATGATACGGGCGACAGAGGACCACATTCCTAGGCACTGTCTGAGAGCAGTGCTCTCAGGTTCCCACACCCTCCAACTTCGCCCCTGCAGAGCTCGGCCCCTGTGCGTAGGATGCCCTTCCTGAGATGTGGTCTCTGCTGTCAGACTCACAAATAAGACAGAGACGGATGTTAGCACAGCCACCAAGAGGAACACACATCAGATCGGGGGGAAGAAAACAGACTGTGGAAAGAGCAAAGAAAGAGGTAGGAGAGAGGCACAGAGAAAAGGCTCTCTCCGAGCACCTGAGACCAGCAGAGGATTCCAGACCAGAAGAGAACACCGATGAGGAAGCCAGCAAGAGGAGGGTGCAGGGACTGCCCACCCCGGCGCCCTCCACCATAAGGACCCTGAAGTCTTTCAACCCAGACACTGATGATTAAATCCAGCCTAGGGTAACAGGGAAAGAGTTCGGCACCCTGGGAAGAACAACTGGATCGAACCCGCACACTCCCCAAGAGAAACCTTGACATGAGGTTCCCTGAGCCAACAGCAGAGGGTGCTGTTGTCCCATCTTGGATTGAGACCGGGACCTTGAGACCACCCCAAATCTCTGCACCTTCCTCAGGATGAGGCATCTGGGCCACAGCAGCAGATAACAGATTTATGGCGAGGAAAAGGGAGAAGGCAGATGGCCTGGAAGGTCTGGTTTGAGTGTAGTCAGGTAGAGATGGGAGATGAGTGGGTGGACAGGTTACCTTTGTTGCGATTTTCGGGGACTCCTTGTTTTTTACCTGTTTGAACAAGAAAGAAAAAAGTGGGGTGGAGACCCAAAGTGACTATTAAGAGATCAGATATCCAATTTGTTGGTCCTGCTCAGAGCCCAAAAGGGCGACAGCAAAGGGGCTGAGCTGCAGGGAAGGGAATGTGAAGGAAGCTCCGTCTGCTCACACCCCTTCTCACTAGGGCTTCTCATGACACCACGGGGAATGGAGCAGACCACTCATGCAGGTGAGCGCACACCCACACAGCGCCTTCTCCCGAGCACGGCTGCATCACGTGGAGAAATGGGGTGGGGTTGGGAGCAAGAGGGGTGAACCGTGTTGGCCTGATGGCAAAGGCTCGGCAGAGTCCCCACGTCATCACCAGCACCAGGCCGCCTCCTCCTCACTCATCTGCAGGTAGCTGCAGAGACGAACAGCATGTTGTTTCCTGGTCACACCCCGCCCTCCACTAAACGGCCCGAGACGGCCCTCCGTCTAAGTGGTGGAGTCCCTCTCTCCTTCCGGGGAAGAAGGAACGCTTAGGGGAAGCTGCAGATCTGGTTTTACTATGCTTTTCTCAGTTGACTTCTGTGTTTCCTTCCTTCAAGAACAAGTGAATGGCAAAGGCAGGGCTAACGTCACGGTAGACATTACCTGTTTGCTCACTCTCCTAGCTGCTCTCTCTCTTCCACTGGCAGCCCATGGTTCAGGAGGAATCCAGACATCTCCTGGCCAGTTTTCCATTAGCCCTCATGGTTCATTTGCCCCCCTCCACCCCCATGTTTGAGGAAGAAAGGGATGGGATCAGAGGACTACACGGAGGGGTATTTAGGGCCAGAGCACCTAGCCAGCTCATGTGGGGCAGGCTTTATAACTCACCTCTTTACAACCCACCAATATGCACAGAGATGGAGGCTCAAGTGCAACCTGATTTGGGAGCTAGAACCAGGATCGGGGGTTCACCAGAGCCCCCTAGAGAGCCAGGGTGGCCATCTCTGTCTCCGCTCTTCATCCAGCAGTCTCCCATCAGATCTGCTCCCTTGCCTCCTGGCTTGTCCATGGGGACAGGAGGGAAGAGAGTCTCATTCTGAATGCCTCTTACCTTTCTTCTTCTTCTCCTCCTCTTCTTCCTCACTGGCCCCCAAGAGGGTAAAGATGATTCCAGTCTGGGAGTTGACACCCACAGCAGTCACTAACATCCGGCCAGAACCTTCCATGACATGGGTCCCTGTGGGAGAAAGCAGAAGGTGGGAAGAGTGTTGTGTTTTACACCTCGGCCTGCTCCAGTGTAAAACACAGACTTCCTTCCTCCCCTGTGGATAATGATATACTCAGCAGAGAGAAGGAAAAGGTCAAGAGCTGGGGCCATGTAAAATAGAATAAGTAGCCCGGCTGGTGTGGCTCCGTGGTTGAGTATCAACCTATGAACCAGGAGGTCACAGTTCAATTCCCGATCAGGGCACATGCCCAGCTTGCAGGCTCGATCCCCAGTTGGGAGTGTGCAGGAGGCAGCTGATCAATGAGTCCCTCTCATCATTGATGTTTCTCCCTCTCTCTCCTTCTCCCTTCCTCTCTGAAATCAATAAACATATATTAAAAAAATAAAACAGATCAAGTAAATTGGGGGATAATGAGATAAGTGTGTCTAACTGCTTTAGGGTAAGGCTCCTTCCCCCACCACCCACCCTCTTCCAGCACTTGCTCAATAGAGAACTTCTGTTAGCTTACCTTAGGTCCTTGTATTTAACCCACTCATATGCCATTGCCCCAGGGAGAGGAGACAGAGCGGGGCCTGGATCAGGTCTCCGTGGCCTGGCTGTGTGGGAGGAGGCAGAATGGAAACCAAGGTGGCCAAAGCCATACCTGAGAGCAACATGGGGTCTCTTTCTAAGGATTTCTTGACATGGTCCGATTCCCCAGTCAGAGAGCTCTCGTCAATCTTGAGATCATTCCCCTGGATCAGGATCCCATCTGCAGGCAGCAGGTCGCCTAGTGCACAGAGGGGAAGGGGAGCCAGGGAAAGGGGGGCGGTAAGAGCCTGGCGGAGGATGGGGACCACCCAACCCCATCTCAGACCTCTCACCTAGAAGCAATGGCCCAGAGAGCCTTTGAAAGACAACCTGGGACAAGACTATCTTCCAGGTATTACAACTTCAAACAATTGCTCCCCCCAAAACACCTTCCCATGGCCTGAATATTATAGACTTTTAACCTGAAGACACGTAAGTCTGACAGTCTTTTGGGAGCGTTTCCGTTAGTTCTTTCTCTGAATTTCCTTACATAACCCCCTTAAATGCGACCGAGAGGCTAACCCAATTTTGGATCATACCTTTCTGGCCTCAGCAATAGGGAGAGTGGCATGGGTAAGAGAAGCGCGGAGCTCTCACCGTATTTGATTTGGGCGATATCACCCACCACGATTTCAGCCACGGGGAGCTGGATGATGTGACCATTTCGAATCACGGAGAATTTCTGTTCCTTTTCAATTCGGTTCTGCAGCCCTCGGAACTGCTTCTCTTTGCTCCAATCATTGAAGGCCGTCACTAGCACCACGATGATCACCGAGAACAGAATGGCTGCCCCCTCGATCCAGCCGGCTTCTGCCTCCCCTTCGTCCTCTGGGCTATTGATAGGTAGACCACACTCTAGCGCAGAGAAAGGAGAGAAAGAAAGGGTCACCTAGGGGCTTTGATTGACGTTGAAGAAATGGGGGGTAGTTGCTTCTGCCATCCCTCAGAATGGAAAGTCAAGGAAAGAGAATAATAAAAAAAATTAAACTCTTGGGCAAAAGAGCTTCCCTCTAGGGATATTGGAGGACAGCAGGATTGGGCTTCATTTCATCACTATATGTTAACCCAAAAGAAGCAAATGACTAAATAGCGCAAAACACGTCAACGCAAACTAAAGGCAGGTCACATGTAAAGAACTTATGACTCCCGGCACGGTCAGGCGCCTGCTGTTATGTCCCCAGATGCCAACACTGGTGTGGGGCATGTTGGGAAGCAGGGCTGTGTTGGTTGGGTGAGGGTAGAAGATTTGTGACATTCCACATAAGGATTTCCTGGGAGAAGGGGGGAAAGATCCTGGGATCAGAATGGGTTGGAAGAAAAGCTTATTAGCTACTTGTTGGTTTCCTTTGGAGAACCCACCCTGAATAACGGGGGGACACTTTTAAGCCATAATCTGTCAACCACTGAGTGCTTTTTGGTGGTTGTGGGAAGAACCAGATCAGAGTTCTGTGGGGCTGTTCAAGACACTCACGTTCATTTTCTTCACCATGGGGACGATAGAAGGACAGAACCAGGGAGATGATGGCTGCGATCTCCAGGATGATGAGGGTGACATCTTGAAGGGCTTCCCACACTAATTCTAAGAAGGTCTTGGGCTTTTTGGGGGGGATTAAGTTGTGTCCAAACACTTGTTTACGTTTTTCCAGATCTGCTGGGCTCCCGGATAGACCTGAAAAGGAGATAGGAGTGGGATGAATGAATTGGAAAAATGGGGAAGAGATGAATGATAGAGGAAAGCAGTGAAAAGACCCCTGTACAAAAAAGACCCTTGCGCCCTAGCAGGTTGCTCAGTGGTTAGAGCATCGGCTTGAGGACTAAGGATCCTGGCTCGATCCCTAGCCCTGGTCGGGGCATGTACGAAGGCAACCAATTGATGTGTCTCTCTCACATGAATGGTTTTCTGTTTCTCCCTTCCAGTCTCTCTAAAAAAAAAAAAAATGTGGAAAAATATCTTCTGGTGATGATTAACAAAAACAAAACAACAAAAAAGACCCCTTGCTTCCTGATCTGCCCAAGTATGAGATCCAGTTAGGGTGGTCAAACCACCCCAATTTGCTCAGGACTCAGGGGGTGTGAAACTTTCAGTCAAAAAAACTGCAACATGTTGGTCATAGCGGCCACTCACCCTTCTTAGTCTCCAGGGTAAGCTAGCCTGTTCCTCAACTTCATCTCCTTATTGAGTTATGCACCAGGCTCCAGCTCTAAGAACACACACATTCTCTCTCATCATTGACGTTTCTCTGTCCCTCTCCCTTCCTCTCAGAAATCAATAAAAATATATTAAAAAAATGTTTCCTGGGTCTCACACAGTACTTCTCTCTCATATGACCATGTAAATGCTGGTGATGATTTAAAAACAGAGATAGCTTCCATCCACTGGCTCACACACAAAGGCCAGAAAGAATAAGCTGTCTGCTCAAGGTCATGCGCGGAAGTGAGGAGACACAGCCCCACCAGGTGTCCTGATTCCGAGTTTCAGTGGCTTTAGGAGAGCAACAGAAAAGAGGCGCTGAGACTCCAACTTTGGGCATCCCCTTGGCTCACACATACCCTTCACTTTCTGATACACACACCAAGAAACAAAAACACACCCTGCTAAGAGGTACTACTATTCTACTAAGTACTATGTATGTAGACTAAGTACTAGGTACTAAGAGAAGTACTGCTATTCAGGTTGAATAAAAAGAGAACAAAGAAAGCTGGAGCCACAAAGTCAGACAGTACACCATCCTTGATAACCAGCATGCTCCCACTAACACACCTATGCTTGCATACTGGCGCCAGTGTGCACACATGTTCTGAGCGTGTTCCCAGAGAGAAAACAGAATTATTCTCAGTGCTTTCCTTATAGTTGGGCCTCTCTGCTGCACCCCAGGGGTTTACACTTGAAGGGAAGTGGGGAAATCCTAAAATTTCCATTATTGCCAATTGGCTTGTTTCAAGCTGTTTCCACACAACAGCAAATTAGCCCCTTCTTGGCACTTGAAGTTACTGGGCTGCACAGTTGGGTGGGTTCCTCACAGGCAGGGTGGGGCAACCTTTGTCCTGAAAAAAGTCAGCAGATGAGGAGGGTTAGAATCAGAGAACAGAGCTTCACAGAGTGCAAAGAACCCAGCCGGGATTTCCCAGTGGTTAGCTTCGACCTACGAACCAGAAGGTCACGGTTCGATTCCTGGTCAGGGCACATGCCCGGGTTGCAGGCTGGATCCCCAGAATGGGGCGTGCAGGAGGCAGCCGATCAATGATTCTCATCATTGATGTTTCTATCTCTCTCTCCCTTTCCCTTCCTCTCTAAAATCAATATAAATATATTTTTTAAAAAAGAGTGCAAAGAAAAGCAGATGACAGGACTCTGCAAGGAGAAAGCGGAGACACTGGTGCCAGAAAGCTTCTTCAGACTAAAAGCAACATGCAGGGTAATCCCCTGGCAGGGCTGCGGGGTGTAGCATGAGGGCAAATATCGACTCTCCATCTCCACTGAATAGGCCCCAAGAGTGTTATCTTAACTAGCAAGAGGGAAGACGTGGGTTAGACTGAAGGAAGACTTTCAGACAAAAAATGATTTTGAAAAGGGAGTCTTGTTTACAGGGTCTGAGACAGCCTCCACGTCTCTAATCCTAAAAACAAAGCCACCAGGAGAGAGGTACATGAGATACTCATCTGCCTGGGAAGGTAGATTTGGGACCCTGCCTGGGTATAAGGGGGAGTGAACTGGCATCCACACTTGGGGAGTCTGGGATTGGAGAACCCTCCACTTGCTAGTGTTCAGGGGAGGAAAACAGGAGCTGGTGGGGGAAGTGGTGCCCAAGGGTCATATCCCCAGACTCCTGCCTCCCAGGGCCGAGGAGTACACGGTGGCCTCTGGGTGGCACTGCTGAGCTCTAAAGGGGAGCGTTAGAGGCAAGGAGGCTGCTTCCCAGAGGCTCTGAGAAGTCAGGCTCCCAGCAGGGAAGGAAAGCGAGGGCCTGGGAAAGGAGTGCTCCTGGGCAGGGCATCCTGATCCCCAGGCAGGCAGAGGCAGAGCTGCCAGGGGCAGGGCCTTGCTGGCTCCTTCTCCCCAGGGACCCGAGGCAGCAAGGCTGTGCCAAGTTGGGACTGCTGTGCTGGAGGGCCGGCCTTGCTTGAGGGAACAGGAGTTCTGATCGTCTGTCAGTCTACTTGGGGCGTTTCTCAAGGAGGCAGGATTCATAATATAAAGTGATTCACAACGTAATGGGATTCACAATGCAACGGGATTCGTAATGTAAAGAGGTGGTCGCTGCCTCCTTTACAAGAGCGAGTACATGCCTATGAGGGCAAACCATGACATCAGATGTTGGAGATGATCATAAGGAACTTCACAGTAGCTTAATGAAGGCCCAACAACAGCCACAGCCACAGCCACAACCACAACAGCAACCGCCACCCATGTGAGGTGGCCCTGCCTTTCTCTGTTCTCATATTAATACCGTGTAATCATCCTTGACTCCTTCCTCCCCCTCTCCCTCTCCCTCTCCCTCCCCCTCGCCCTCTCCCTCTCTTTCATCTATTATATCCATTTAGTCAGGAAATCCTGTTAGTTTTACCTTCAAAATACATGGAAGGCCTACTCCTTTCTCCTTTTCCATGGCTACCATCCAGGTCTAAAGCATCATCATCATCATCATCATCATCATCATCATCATCATCTCTTGCCTGGAATATTACAACTGCCTTCTAACTGGTCTCCTTGCTTCCCCCCTTGCCTTCTATTCTCATTCTCTTCAATAGAGTAGCCAGAATGATACTCTCCAAACCAACTCATGATGCCCATCCACTCAGAATCCTCTGGTGGCTTTTACTTGGGGTGAAACTGGGCACTGAAGATGGTATGATGGCCAATTAGGCCCCCTAGGAGCCCCCAGGCCCCACTCCTTAACTCCTGCCATGTTCCCCTTGGCCACGGAGATCCCAGCCAAGCGAGCCTTCCTCCCAGTCTCCGAACGCACTAGACATGCTTCTATTTCGGGGCCCCTGTTCTCTTTGCTCAGATTCCTCTTCACTAGGTAGGGTTCATTCTCTCACCTCCTTCAGGTCTTTGTACAAATGTCACCTTTACAGTGAGGCCTGCCCTGACCATTGTGTTTAACATTAGGACTTCTCTGCCCCAGCACGCCCCATCTCCCTTACCCTGCTCATTGTCCCCTCTCCTGGCCTTCTCCCCTAATACATGCCAGAATGTATTCATCTACTGTTTGTCTGTCCCCCTCCACCAGGGCAGAAACTTTGACTTTGTTCCTTAGGTCTGCAGCAGTGCCTGACACATGGTACGCATACATATTTGTTGAATGAGCTGAATAAATGAGCAATAAATAACTTTGCTAACATTTAAGCGATTACTGTGTTAAGACGCATCATTAGGTACTTTTGTGTCTTCTCATGTAAAATAACCCCATGCGGTAGCTCCTATTAAGTCCATTTTACATATAAGCAAACTAAGACATGTACGTAACTACTCAAGCAGAGTATGTGACCGAGGCTGCTCCGATCCACAGGAAGCAACTGGATGCCAACCTGTCCACAGAGGGGCTGGGGCAGAGGCAGCCGCGCTCCCGAGGCTCCATCCTAGTGCCACGAGCTTGTCTTGGTTTGCCTGGGACTTCCCTGGTTTTAGCAAGGAAGCTCCCGCCTCCTGGGAATGCCCGAGCACACCCCCTCAGTCCCAGGCAGACAGAGAGGGTTGGCCACCCCACTGTATTCACCCAGGGCAGTCCCGCAAGGTGCTTTCCTGTGCCTCTGAGCAGATCAGCCCGTTCCCACTGCCTACAGTTGGGGTGAATCAGTTCTGCCCTCATGGATGGTGACACCACGTCTGTCAGTCCAACCTATACATGTTGTATTCAATCAAAGGTTCATTCTGGCCTTTCTTGGGCCCAAGCAAATGACACAAGACACAGCATGGGAAACAAAAAAGGTCAGGCCTTGCTCTCACCCAGAGGCCCTCCGAGTCCCCCATGTACTCCCTTTGTGCCATTTTCTCTCATCCGTGTGCTCCACCTTAATCACGCTAAGCTCTTCAATAGCTACCTTAAGAAGCCAAGGGGCTGTCCCAGTTCCCAGCATGCCCTGTGGCAGGGAGGGGCAGGCCGGGCTGTTAGCATAGTAGCCTTGGGAATCCTCCCTCCGACATGTGGCATGGCACAGAAGGCCATGTGGGACCGGGAGCCGGGCCAATCCCCGATCCTGGGCTTTCCATTCCAACTCTCCCTGCCCCCGAGAGGCCGCCGGCCCGAGCCCAGCAGCCGTCATTGCACACTCATACTTGTCCAGCCCGGGAGAGGGGTTTCGCCCCGATCTCTGCACTGCTGCTCAAACGCATGGCTTCCTGGAGGGGGAAGGAAGACTTGGAAGGGAGACAATGCTGGACACATAGGAAAAGGGTTTCCCCTAAAATACGTCAAGCAAATGAGAGGAAACCTTGTCTGCAAGAACATGGGAAAGTCCACCCACACAGGAGTGCTCTGGCCCCAGGACCAGACTGAACACATGAGCTGGGAGAGGTGACAAGAATTTCGCAGGCCGTGAAGTCATCGCCCCCACCTCACGCTGGGAGTGACAGGCCCCTGCCCAGGCTGGTGGGAGATGGAAACTCTGTGTGTGCGGCGCTGTGCTGGGACCTGGGGCTAGGGCGGGACGCTGCGGCCCAGTCCT